CTAAGCTCCCTGAGGGCAGAGAGCATGACATGCTCATCTGTACTCTTGAAGCTGCCGTTGTGCCCAACACCCAGTAGGTGCTTAATAACTGTTTCCTGATGCATGTATGCACGGTCTGTTGCCACTCTGCTGGCAAGAGAATCATGTCCAGAGTGGGTAGTGACATTTCTTGCCTGTATCCAACCTCTTGCAATGAGGTCACATCCTCAGATGGACAAATGGAAACAGACCTGGCTGCCTTCCAATGCAGGTTTGAGTCTCTCTGACCTCCCGTCTGGCATCTCCAATGTAGAAACATCACAAAAGCAATCACCCACACACACCTGCTTAGTGCTCTCTGCACTAGGTGCTGCAGGAGTTCAGTAGTCCGTGCCATTGATAACTGACATGATCAGAACACGTGAACAAAAAGCAGGCAACTTGGGCAGCATCAGACAAGATATAGAGGGCTCTTCTGGCTGTAAATAAACTAAAGGCGCCTAGTGTATCTAGGACACTTAGCAGTCAAATGCCCCAAACCTTAAATACCCGGAATTTGAGGGCTGGGGGGTGCAGAAGGAAAGGCCATGAGCAGCTAAACCAATACTAAGAGCCCTGAGCTCTGCTGCTCTTACCCCTGTCCTCTGGGGCCACTCCCTGGTCCTTACTGCTGTGAGCAGGGCTGTCCAGAGCCAATTAGAAATGCCAGACCTGGGACTGTATGGGCAGAGCCCAGACTCTGGCCCCAAACTGCCTAGCAGACAGCAGATCTCTTGACGTAAGGTTAGATAACTCACAGTACAAAGTGAAAACATGTTGACGAGGAGGGCTCAGGGCAAGCACACTCATGACAGGAAGCAAGAGAAGAGTACGCATAGAAAACGGCTCCAACCTTCCCAGGACAAAGGCAAAGGTGCCAAGGCAGGGGCCCGCTTATTGCGCTTCTATATAAACAGGGCAGGCAATCCTGTAAAGGAGTTATTATCATCCTCGTTTTGCAGGTGAGGAAACCGAAGCCTAGGACGTTTAGAAGGTCAACAAAAACTCAAATCTAAATCTGTTCCAAATACAACATTACCTGGCCTCTGCCACAAAAGTGAAGCTTAGCTTTAGAAGCCTGAATCATAAAGAAAAAGTTGACTCCCCTCAGTGGTGGCTCTGCTGAAGAGGACAGGGAAGTGTGGCACGTGATTTAGAAAGTTCCTTATCAGAAATCCCTTACAGGAAGAACTTGGGAAACTTTAAGGAAGAATGTTTCAGTGTCTGGAAATTCCACGGGGATAGAGGGCTGTTCTTCAAGGATTACAGAAAGTGACATGCTGTTGTGCTGAACACATCACTCATGTGGACTTCCCCACGAGGCTTTCAGCTTAGAAGTGTTCTTTCGAGTCTTTTGCGCTTACTGAAACCTATCAAGATACCATCTGCAAATTACCAGTTCTCAAAAGGAGCCAGTTCTTTAGTTTTGGTTTTATTTGGGTGGGCCTCTGGGATGGGTGGGGCCGTCCCCACATGAGGATTCCTGAGTAAGCTGTGGATCAGACGCAGGCAGGTGTTTTGGAAACACATACATCTTTCATTTTAGAAACGGAACAAAATGCTCAACTCTGTGTCTGTGTTTCTAAAACCACAACACCCAGCCCGTTGGCCGATGACTCAAGCCAAAGGCCTGCGCCTGCCCAGCAGCACATTCTAATGTCCTGCTCACTGGGACAAAGCAGCCGCCCCGTCTGCCTGGATGGCCTGGATCCTGCCCTCTTGTCCCTGGCCACAGGAGACTGGTGGTGCCACCGTGGCCTCTGGCCTCTGCCCACAGCTGCCGAGCAGGCCCCAGACGTCTACAGGGGGGAAGGGGCTGGATCCTGAGAGTGGGGCGGGAGAGGAGTAAGGATGCTCACTGGAATGGTGGCCTTGGGCTGCGCTGACTCAGGCAAAGTTGAGGCTCATAAGTAAAATTTTGTAAGTGCCAGCAAGCTGCTGTGGAACGCAGCAAACAGGCTGCAGTTAGGGAGAGGGTTTGTCTGGGGCTCACTCAGTGACAGCCTGACTTCTGGGATGCAGATTTCCAGAGGCAGGGAGCCTAGGGCCCTGGGGCCACCACCCAGGGTAGTCCCTTGCATCAGTCGCCCCCACACCCCAACTCCAGTCATGGCAAGCACTGCGCTAATTCACTCGAGCGCCCTTTCCTCCAGACTTCTGCACCCGCTTCCCCATTCTGCAGGCAGTGCTGCTGTGAGTGCCATCAGGATGGCTCGGGCCTCTTACTTCTGGGAAGTATCCACCCTGTAGGCCTTAAGGGCCTAATCCAGTAAGAGACATGCACCCCATATCAGAGGAGAAAGCAATTGTCCTTAGATAGTAAGTGCTTTCCAAACCAGGAGTTCCTCTGAAACTAGATGAAGGATGGGAGGGACAGGGAGAGGGAGAGAGGGCAGGGACTAGACATTAGATTAGATTCCAGGACTTCCATTAGATTAATTGTTCCTTTCACAGGAGACAGGGTGAGGGAGGAGAAGCCCATTTAATCAGAATGCAAATAGCCATGGCCAGGGAGATGTCAAAAGTATGTCAAAAGTACCTTGAGGGGCTGAGAGACAGAGACTGAGAGAGAGAGAGAGAGAGAGAGAGAGAGAGAGAGAGAGAGAGAGAGAGACACATACAAAAAGAAAGATAGACACAGAGAGACAAAGACAGAGAGAGACAGAGAGACAGAGACAGAGAAAGAGAGACATAGAGACAGAGACAGACACAGACAGAGAGAGAGACACAGGGGAGTGGGGAAGAGATGGGGAGGGACAGAGAATTAAGGTCAAGGCTCAGGACATGAGACCCCACCCCAACAGAGCCTCTCTGACAACTTGGCACTGGGGGAAACAGAACCCAGAAAGGATTTTTCTGACCTTTCTGACCTTTTAGGCTCAAGCCAGAAGCCCAGGATATGCATGGGAGAAACAGAAAGCGGCATGGTAAGGTGGCAAGAGGCCTATATCTGCCAGCTCCCCACCCAAGAACCAGCGGGACATGTCTTGTTCCCTGTCATCTTGTGCCATCTCCTGTCGAAGTTCCGGCTATCTTCCTTCCATCTCAGGGGCCAAGTCCTGGGAGCAGAAGGGGCCCTGCAGACCAGAGCAGGGCCAAGCATGTGATTCCAGCCTTTGTAATTCCTGATGCATCCCAAGCTCAGTAGCTCCCAGTCTCCCTTCCAAAGGCCAAGCCCCTCCCACTGTGGCTCTGCATACCCACAGCCCTGGTGAGTCCCATAAGATCTGCCAGGTAAGCATACAGAGCGTTTCAGTTTGTGCCAAACTTTCCCAGCCCAGTCAGGGAGCAGGACCAAAGCACCATGCATAGAAGTACTTCTAGCAAAAATTTCCATGGATGCTCACTGCCCCGGAGCTAGGAGCCTCAAGGTACTCAGCAAATGTACCCTATATGCATCTGACCTAAAAGAGGTGTTGCGCCACCCAAGTCGCCCACTATGTCCAGTGTGACTCTCTGCGACACAAGGTGTCCAGCCAGAACACCCTCCGCTTTCCACAGAGACTACTCTCTTGTTAGGGGAACACCGCCATGTAGGTGCGAAGTGGGCCTAGGTTCACTGAGCCTCTCAGTCTAGCGCGTGTCCAAGAGGAGCCTTGTTTCCTCCACAAGGGAGGGCTGGCCCGACCAGGTCTGCTCTGAAACAAGGGCCAAGGCTTTGCCCACGTCCCCACTGCCCTGTCCACAACCCCTTGCGAAACTTCTAGTTCTTGCAATGTGTTACCACAAGGAGCACGCAGACAATTCACTGATCACATGGGGGTTATGGCAGCTGAAACATTCCTGGAACAGACGCGGTCCTGGCACTTCTTTTCTGCAGGAGACTCTCACTTTCGTCTTGACAAGTACTCTGGAGAGAGTGTACTGTATGGCAGAGGAATCCCCCTTCTTGGTCAATGCCGTCTGCTTCCTGATCCTGACTTGTAGAGACCGTGGGGTGCACATGGCATTTTTAAAGTACACACTAATGTCTGCATGCCCAGCTGGTGCCTCCTAAGCTGCCCACGGCCAAGGCGGCAGAGCTGATGTGCTAAGACCAGCTGAGCCACCTCAGGTGGCTGACTCAACCTCCCTGTGGTCCAGTTTTCTCTCTTCTGCAAAGTGGAGATCACAACTGGCACCAGCATCCCAGAGCTGTTGCGAGAAGTGAGTGGACTCATATTTGTCAAGCAATTAGGCCGTGTTTATGAAGTGGATTCCTAACACCAACCAGCCTGTGCATCAAGAATCACATCAAGCATCACTGTACCCACACAGACTGCCCGCATACACTGAGATTTGTTCTTCTTTTTCTACAAGGAAAACTGCTGCCACTTCATAAAATAACCAGCTAAGCCTCCATGGCTCACTGCAGAGGAAGCATTCTCCACTGCTAGCTTTTGCTTTTTGTTGCTGTTGCTTGCTTTTATTTATTTATTTTTTGTGGAGATGGGGCCTCACTCTGTTGCCCAGGCTGAAGTGCAAGGATGAGATCATAGCTCACTGTAGCTCTGACCTCCTGGCCTAAGCAGTCCTCCCACCTCAGCCTCCCAAGTAGCTGGGACTATAGTTGTACACCACCATACCTGGCTAATTTTTTTAATTTATAGAGACTGGATCTCATTGTATTTCCCAGGCTGATTTCAAACTCCTGAGTTGAAGTGATCCTCCTGCCTCGGCTTCCCAAAGTACTGGGATTCCAGGCATGAGCCACTGCGCTGGCCCAACTGCCAGACTTTGGAGATAGGATGACATTCTCTACACTTCATTTGGGGAGGCTCCTCCCACCACAAGGCAGGGGTGGAAGGGTGGTAGTGGTGATGATTAACTACACTTTACATCCCCCGAAAGAGAACATCATCCTGAAGTTTCTCTCTGGGACTAGGCTGCACCCCTGGCTCGCAGCAGGTCCTAGGCAAGGTGTGGTACTATCAGGTGACAGGAGTAACAAGTGCATGGGGGCGGGCCTTGGCAGGACACCGGGCCGGACGGGTGTGGCTTACTTGCAGTCGTGCTTCTCGATTTCAAAGTGGGGGTTGAAGTTGAGCACGATCTTCTGGTTGGGCTCGGGTGCATACACCACCCACTCGCAGTTCTGGTGGGAGGGGTAGTCCTGGGGGTACCCGGGAGAGGTGATGTAGCCAGCATCTTTGGAATTCAGGCGTCCTCCACACGGTGGGTCTGAAATAAAAACCAACAATCACATACTTCAGAGGTGCCCCGGCCTCCTGCTCCCACAACTGCTTCCACCGTGGTTGCCGAGGTAAGGCCACAACCCTCCTGTGGCCATCCAGAAGATGAACCCACTCACTCACTCAATGGAAGAGATGGCTCCAGCTTATCCTGACCTGCCCACCTGACTACACATGCACACAAGTGGAGTATTCCAGAACACAGCCATAAATATCCCCAATTACATGGTCTATGACTAGCAAAACAAAACTGTAGACTTCATATGCTACCCGCACCTCCCACCCTGGCCATGTCCTCTCCCGTGCCCTCCTGTCCCTGTCTTCATCTCACAGATCTCCCATGTTCCTGGGGTTCAGCAGCCTGGCCCAGCAGCCACAGCTAAGGCTTAGCCCGACAATGGTGGTTTTGTGGTCCTGGCCACAGGAGGGCTGGGAACAATTACACATGGGGTGGAGGAAGCACTTTCTGCTTTGGGCCAGAGCAGGCCCTGGAGGGTGATTATTTAAGCTTTTTTTTTTCCAAGAAAAAAAGCAAGAGCCCCAAACATTTAATTCCACATACACCACAAATTTGATTTATTATTTCATTATACCCAGAGTGGAAAAATCTGTATCAGAGAATCCACTGGCTCCGACCTCAGAATTTCAACAAAGGTGCTTTGTGCTAAGGGTGCCTGTGTTTTTTTGTGTGCCCGCTACCCATGGTGCCTCCTGCCTGGTCACTACCACCAGAGTGTGCTGCTGCCTTGTCCAGCCATGACGGCCGTCTGCAGGGAGCCAACTCCCTGGCCAGTGCACCAGGCTGGATGAACAGCTTCCTATGGCCCGGAGGAAAGGGGCTGTCCTCAAAGACACATGCATTTGAAGGATTTCATCTGTTGGGGGGTTCTGCCACCCCCTGTAGGGGTCCTGGGACACAGGGGGTTTGTTTGATACCAACCTACAACAGAAGCCAGAAAGGCACAGGAGTTCCCAGGAGCCTCTGGTAGGCCTTCCCGGGCCACTAGCATGGATGTGGCCATCTGCATGGTTGTGAATTATGCATTAGGCTGAGCAATCCCTCCCCCACTCCAGGAGGGCCTCTCTCCTGTTCCCTCTTCCAGGGAATGAGTCCTGCATTTTTAACTCCACAGGTGCACTTTACTACTCCCTGTATCAGCTAATATCAGTGTCTTCTAGGCTCTACTTTGGAAGGCTGGTCTGATGGGCCTGGAATGCAAACTGCATACAGCAGCCAGGGCACAGGTCACACAGCAGCCTCTGCGGTGACAAGCCTCTAGGGGCTCACTCTGCCACGCCCAAATGCCCAGGATCAAACGGGTAGAGACAGGCAGTGGCTCCTTGGGCCAGCAGACGCCACGTCATCCTCCACCCAGTCAGTCCAGGGCACGACCTCCCACTCTGAGCACACGAGGCCAGTGGTGAGGCCAGCTCCTCAGCAGCCAATGCCTATAGCCCTCTGGAGGCCCACACCAGCTCCTACACAGGGCACCTTCACCCTCCAGTCAGCCAAGCAGGGGCCCCTGGTCCTGACTCATGCCTGAGACCAGTTGAGGAGTTCTGAGCAGGCAGAGGCAGGGGATGGAGGTCACCAGCTGCTCCCACCAAACTAGCAGAACAGGGAATCTTCTACGGAGTGCCTCTGCCAACTATTTAGGAGAAAACTGCCCCTCTGCTATCAGCTTGTCCCAAACCATACTTTCTGCCTTGGAATGCACTGGCGGAAACCAGAGCTCCCATTTAGCAACCTCATGGTTTCTACTTCCACACCCTCTCTCTCTTCTCACTTCCCCTACTTCTCTCCAATTACTCGCGGGAAAGAAAAGCTCTCCCTACTCTCTGCACCCTGGGCTGGAGATTTTAGTAATTAGACCAGGCACACAGATCAGCAATAAAGACAGGAAACTTCCTCCCAGGAAGGTTTCATTTCTCATCTACTCCAGAAGCAATCATTTCCCCACTACCAAAAAACAAACAAACAAAAACAACAAAAAAATCCAAAACTTAAACTGTATATATATCCCATAGCTGATAATCTGCACTTTTTACTGCTAAACCAAAGGAAGCAGAGCAACCCATTTCTTTTTTCTGTTCTTTCTTTATCTGAAGAAAATCGAGGCACTTATTGAAATATCCAAGAACTCATTAAGACATCTGTCCTGGCTGTGTGTGGTTAACCTTTTCAATACCCAAACATTTACAGACTCACATTTTGTGTTTGGATTGCATCCACACGCAGAAACGCACACACAGATATTGAACATACATCAATTACATATACATATCAGTAGCTCACACTTCAGTCCTGTACACACATTCACACCTTCTCATGAAATATCACACATCATTTGCACAGACATATATCCACAAAGATAAATACTAGAATGGCTGTCTCTATTTTTCTTGGAGAGAAGATAATTCAGTAAAAACTGCAAAGAAAACATACTTAATTCTTCTCTATCTCCTCTTGATAAATGCTCTTTCATCCCCAGATTTGGGGACCCTTTCTTTCTTAAATACAAACACACCCCAGTAGACATTAGCAAGAGTTTCTTCTGGAAAGCTGTACCAGCCATTATTTTGCAGGCCTCGATTATGATCCAGAATGAACTCCATAGCTGCCCTGTTTTCAAGGAGTCCAGAGAGTTGAACTCAGGGGTAAAGCCCTGAAGGCTAATCTCTGTACACAGGAGACTGACCCTGGGGAAGCCTGAACCACTGAGCCTGTCTGGTGAGTTGACAAAGGACTTTATTCTCCAGCTCTTTTATGAATACCTTTTACCTGAGGCAAATTCATTTCTCAAAGAGAAGCAGCAAAATCCAAGTGTGGATGATTCAGAGCTGTTTTCTCCTGCACCTGGGAGGGAAGCCTGTAGGATGAGATGGCCCAAGGACGAAAGTGATGAGGTGTCAGCTCTAGATGTAATTTGAAATGAAGAGAACACTAAGTTCTGATGTCACCAAGTTCTGATTCCCTCAATGACTACTTAGGTGTCTTTATTTGAAGTGTAAGGTATTAGATTGCTTTAAAATATTTGTTATTCTCTCTCCTTCTTTCCCTCTCAGGTGTCTTTGCTGGTGGCCTGAGTGTCACTGAAGCCTAAGCCTAGTGAAGTGTAGCCCCGGAGAAGATAGGAAGCTCTGTCCCCATTTGCGCAGGGACTCATGCTCTTATAGAACTTCTAAGGGCCACTTCTTGGTTTCTTGGCAATATCTGATTTCAGGGAACATTAAGAAGGGGAAAAGAAAGATCTTTAAAAACTCTGGCCTGCCTTCTAGGAAAAGTAAGTTGGTATTGTTTTAAATGAACAGTTTGGTGGGGCGTGGTGGCTCACACCTGTAATCCCAGTACTTTGGGAGGCCGAGGCAGGAGGATTGCTTGAGCCCAGGAGTTTGAGACGAGCCTGGGCAACATAGTGAGACCTCATCTCTACAAACACATCAAAAAACTAGCTAGGTGTGGTAGCGTGTACCTGCAGTCCCAGCTACTCAGGAGGTTGAGGTTGGAGGATCACTTGGGCCCAGGAATTTGAGGCTGCTGTGAGCTATGATTGTGCCACTGCACTCTAACATGGGCCACAGAGTGAGACCTCGACTCAAAAATAAATAAATAAATAAATAAAAAACAAAGGAATACTGTATGGCCTGAATGTGACAGTAATAGTTGCTGAAAATGCAAATTAGACTGTTGGGAGGGCTTTTAGAATAATAGGAATGGCAATGACTGGTAAAGAACAGTCAGACCCCTTGGCTGAGATGAACTGAAGGAGAAAGTGCTTGGCAGAACCAGGGAGACTTGGGGACTGGCTGGATGGGGGTGTGTGTGTGTGACAGAGCCAGCTGTTGTCAAAGGTGAGTCTGGGGGAATGGGACTGGGTCACCAGGAGAGGGAGGGGGTGATATCAGCAAAAAGGAGGAGGGTGGCACTGGGCTTCAACTTGGGGTGACCTCTCTGGGTATCAGTTTCGTAAATTGTAATTCCATGAATGGATTGAATTAGGTGTGTCATTTTCAAATTTTTTTAGAAGTGGTATTTTTTCCTTGAACAAAACTGTATGCTGGCCCCCAATGTACAAACCAGAAGTGGGGCTCTCCTGGGATAGTGGGTGAGAGGCAGCAGAAGCAGGACTGAGCCCAGCCCTCTAGCCCCTGCCTTCCTTGGGGGAAGGGGGGTGCTTCCCCATAAGCACATGACAGCTTCCCGGTGTATAGTTCAAACCCACTAAACTGCATTTGAGTTCCTGGTTCCTTTAAAGTGCATGGAAAAGAGACAATAGATAATGAGGGGACATTTGTTCTTCCAGATACCCAAGGGCCCTGGGTGGAGAATGGTATGGGTCCCATGTCTCCTGAAAATAAGATGCTGTATTGACGTTATCATTTGTTCCTCATCCAGAGCATAATCCCCTCCTGTCCCTATTTTCACAGCATTGTTTTCATTTAATTACTGGCAGCAAGGCCAACAAGAAACTCTTTCTTCTACTTAAAAAGATAGAAGGTTGTCGCCTTGCTACTAAGCTTATTCCACCAGGGCAGTTCACTGGCAATTGCACTGGGTCAAGATTAGGAAGCCAAGAAATCGGGTCTGGCCTTATCCCAGACAGGTTGTGTGACCATGAGTAAGTTAGTAGACAACTCTGAGCTTTGTTTCTCATCTATAGAATGAAATCTCCATCGATCTAAAGGTCAGTACCAGTCCTAAGTCCAAAGCCTTATAACGTGGTGGGGAAAGATCTTCTAACCCACAGACTGAATCAAACATTCAAAAGATTCTCTACCCTCCCAGACAATGAGATACTTACTCAAGGTGTACTCTGTTTTATTTGCTTGGTAGACCTGAAACAAAACTCCAGGATTCTTCAGAGGAACATGTCTGTCTTGCATTATGGGAGTTCAAATGTCTCTCTTAATCACATTAGCTCTACTGACATGAGCTCCTTTTCTTTGCCGAGTCTGTGGCTGCATATTTATAAATATTGTGGCTACACA